ATGCTTTGGAGGCAAGTTTATTGATTTTTGTTGTTGTTGGATTTTTTGTTGTTTGTTTTTTGAGCCCTCACATGATTTTGATAATACTGGAAACAGTATGAAAGATAAAAATATGTTATACATCCAGTCCATGTACTGTATCTTTGCCTGAGCCTATGTTAACAGAGTACTTAGGTAGGGGCTGAATTATGACAGCAATTAAGCATGTCTTTACCTTAAGCATATACTCAAATTCTATTTAAAAGTTAAGCATGAGATGAAGAATAGCTTTTCTGAATCAAACCTAAATATGCTGTCTTGAAAAAGCCATATTTCTAAGATGGAAAATAAGAATTTACTATTTGATAGTTCTTTAAAAGCAAAGCAGTGTAATCATAATATAACCTCAGTAGTGTTTTGTGTAGCTGGAATAATCAAGTTGTTAAAATCCCTCTTCTGGAGGGCACTTCAGATTTAAAGAAGGGGGAAGATAAATATTGGAAAAGAGAAAAGAACTGACTTGAAAGAATTAAAAAATTTGGTAACAATAAAGTCTTAAAGTAAGATAGGAGGACTGTGAAAACGCAGATTAAGTCATCAACAAAAAGGAAGAAAGTGTTATTCTCTTGGCAGAGGTGGTATAATGATTGTCACGCTGTGTTACATTATAGTAGGATTACGGCAGCAGGTGGCAGCAGCTTCCTCAAAATGTGGTGGAAACTGGAGCAAGCAACTGACTATGTGGCAATGTTCTCTCTCGCTTTTTTATCTCTTCTGTAGAGCAGTTAAAGAAATGCTCAACAGGCAAGCACATTTCAATTGATACTTTTGCAGACCAAAATTAGAAAAAAGGTGTTCTCTCTCCCGTCACCCACCCAGATTTCCCTACCATGTACATTAAAATGAAGAAGAGCTTTATGATTTTTTTTTATGCAGGATGGAATTTTGTAACTCAAACTCTGGATCTGATTTAACAAAGATTGCTGCCAGATTTCTTTTCTGTGCTCAGTCTGATCTGAGCTGCTTTCTTCAGTCCTCCTCAGAGGATGTTTCTGAATTAAAGACTAAAAGCAATTTAGACAGTTGGGTCTCTCTGTACAATGCAACAAGAAATTATACCCTGAAATAATTTTTAAAATACATATATGGAAGTGGTAACTGACTGATTAAAAACCGTCAGTCAGCACAAATTAATTTTGTAAAGCTATTCTTTTGGACCATTTTTGTTTTTTTTTTTTTTTTTTTTACGTACTCCTAGGACTTTTCTACACAGGAAAATTACACTGTCCTAAGGGAGGACATGATTTTAAAACATTGGTGATACTGGAATAATTTCCCATATAGATACTCTTATTCTGCTACAAAAATTCTTCTTCTTTGTCTAATTTATATTGCTTTGGCCATAGCTCAAGTTAAATCAGAAAAAAAGTCTAATTCTAGAATAAAACTGTCTACAGGGGATTTATTCCAATACATTTTACCTATACCAAGCCCTATAGCAGTTGAAGAACATGTGTATAATTTTACTAGTATAACTGGAAAAATATAATGTGTGGACATCTGGAATGATACTCATTCTGTATGCATGTTACCTAATAAGGATGAAAGTTTGGGATGGGCCTAAATCCATTTTCTACCAATCTAGGGCCCTGGCTGTGATCCTGTAGTACTTACTCTTTAATCCAGCTGATTAAAACTTTATTATTTACTTACACACACACACACACACTTTTTGTATAGGACGTGTAGCCATTGAAATCCTTGGGATTTGCTTCCAGGAGAAGTAGAGACTGGGGGGTTATTTGAATGAGCACCTTGGCTTTCACTGTGCTGACAGCTGTTCCCAGATAGGTTGTTTTAATAAAGGTCTACTTGTATTTCTGGAGCTACTTTGCTTATTGAAAGCAGCTGGCACATGCAGACCTGGCATGCAGAGTTCCAAGGGTTCACCAGTGTCACTTCGTTCTATATGGTATTTAAAATTCCTGATCACAAGAAAGGGGACATTCTATTAAAACAATGTTTTATTTTAGACCCCAAACAGAGAATGCTTGGGTATTTGCAAAGTCTAATGCAGTACAAGCCATTGGGGTGATGTCCTTTGGTAAGTTTGTGTCTGAACATTTCTTCTCAACCTGCAGTCCATCTTGCTATGTTAAGTAGTTTTATTTTATATATTTTGATCTAGCCAGCAAGTAGGCACCCCCTTTTAAGTTTGGATATTAGTATTTATTAAGCTGTTCTAGGCAAAATTAAGTTGGGTCTCATTCTCTCCCAGTAGTTGAAATGAAATCATTCCTCAAAATTTGATGTCTCCTCAAATATTCATAAGCCCTACTACTGTTCTCACACCTCCCTATAAGTACTGATTTTGCTTTGTGGTCTCCATGTTGCTTGTTACTGCACAATGTGCATGTCACAGAGAATACCAGAGTAGGAACTGGTACTGTGGGGTCACAGTCTTACACTGAAGAGAGTAGCAAAAGAAGAAACTGGAGATCGGCATGGAAGTATGACAGATATCTGTGTCTAGTGGAGGGAAGAATGATGGATTAGTGAGAACCAAATAAGATGAAAGGAAATTGGAGACATTCACAGAATTGGAAAAGTAGCTAGTATTTCAGGCTGTGAGCTTTGCTACTCATCACCTACTTCATGTTTGTTTGTAATAATCAATTAATTTAAGCTGTGCCATACTTCCACTGCCTTGGAGTACACAATTTGCAAGGTTAGCCTGCTATGAATCATTGATTTTAGTAAAATGCATGTGATTGCTATTAATTGCCATGTGTGTTTCAGCATTCATTTGCCACCATAACAGCTTTTTAATATATGGCTCTTTGGAAGAACCCACTCTAAGTAACTGGTCTCGCATCACACATGTGTCTGTCTCACTTGCTGTGTCTATCAGCATGATGTTTGCTGCATGTGGATATGTGACATTTAAAGGATACACAGAAGGTAAGATGCTCAGTCCATCCATTTTAATGTTTATTTTAGTCTCTGGCATCTCCATCCTTCTTTCCAGTCTTCTGCTTTACAAAATACACAGGAGAGGGAAGAATTCCAAGCTGATCCTTGCCGTTGTCTTTTTATTTCTACTTATGAAGGAGGAACTGGAATTTATCCTTCACATCCAGTAATCAGAAGGCAAGCAAGTAGGAAAAGCTCATCGGAGGTCCTGTGATAGCATAAGATGGAGTCGACTTGAAGCTGGGGGGTCACTGCTGATGGAAAACCAGCACCAAGGACACGTATCAGCACCAAGCTGCTGTAACTGATTAATGCCAGCCTCCCAATTGAAGGATTAGCAAAGTGTAAAAAATACCCAGAGTAAAGGCCAGGGTGTTTGGGGATTTAAGGAGCAAAGTGTAAAAGACTAAGCAGTATTTGCACACCCCATTGGCATCTGTTGCTAATAGTGCAGTTACAATATCTAGCTTTAAATTTACGGCCTCTCCCCATGCCCCCAGCTGAAACCCTGACAGAGGACACCAGTGTTATAATCATCATCACCTACACTTGTTCGAGAATAATTACTCTCTGCTGGTGGCAAGGCTAGCTCAGCCTGGTATGACTTATCTCTACTTACACCAGCCAGAATGAATCTGCCATAGATACGTAAACATGGTGCAAAGAAACTCATTCCCGGTAGCTCACAGGGAGATGTGGGGACTTTAATAGACTGGGGGAGGGAGGGAAGAGGAGCAGGAAACATCTCTTTGGTTGTGAATTGATGTAACAAGGTAACATCTTAAAATGGGAGAGGGCTTACCACTCACGAGCATGCATTTGGATGATTCTGTCCATTCCTATACCAGTATGAGCAGTTGCCATTTTAAACCCAGCTGGCAAATTTTTGAAACTGGGACTGCTTTAACAGAGCTTAGCTCTGAGCATGAGCCAGTTCCAGCCCAGCCTGCACCAGTGCCACAGTCCCTACTTCCCACTGTAGTGCTGCTGCCCCCACGCAGGTAGAGCCCCACACCATCAAAATTCGGCCAAAACACTGCGGAAATTCCCTGGCTCTGATCCAAATAAACTGGCTCTATGGGTCAGATCTGCCCCCTGTGTAAACCTACTTGATTACATTTTGTATCCAAGAGAACAATTTATTCTAGCCACTGATTATATCCTGATTTTTATCTGGACTGACTGAGAGCAGAATGCCTATGACAGACCTTTCAAGAGCAGGAAAATCTATGTCATCTGCCCCTTTGTGTTTATACTACAAAGCAATTTCCTCTAACGTTCTGGCTTTTCCAAGTCACTCAGTCCCTGGTTTTTCCAGAACAAATCTGGTTGTTTTGTAGGTGCCAGACCATCCATAGCACAATAGCATTAAGAGAGAAGATATCTGTTAACCTACCTTGTTCTGATCTTAAGATTTGCTTGCATTTCTCAGCCATACATCTATGTTCATCTTTCCTCAGGTCCTTTGTTATAATCATTAGGTAGGATGGTGTTTCAAATTGTCTGGCAATAGTATGGTAGTTAGATATTAAAAAAAAAAAAAAAACTGGAGTATTAACTGGAGTGTATTTACAAAGGTCAATATATATGTGAAGCCCTGTAATATAGTTTTTACAGCTGTGATTAGATCCTGTAATGTGATATGCAGGAAATGCAAGTCTCCAGATGCACCCATCTAGTCTTCCTTATGCGATTGTTCTTGTCCTATGAATAACATTTTTTAAAGGAAATCTGTTTGTTTATCTAGAATTTTTTTCTTTCTAAAACTGTCACATACAGATTTTAAATAAACACCAGTTGCCTTAAAATTTCAATTAAAAAAAGAGAGCTGCAAAATGTAGGGATGGCAACACAGTCAGCCATATGATTTTTAAAAAAGATAAATACCAACCTGGAAATGATCTTGAGATCTCAAGTAATAATAGAGAAAACTGCTACTCATAGGAGATGGTGATAGTGACAGTTCATTCTGAATGTAATTTGTGACTGTATAATTATCTCTTCCTGATCTGTGCCTCACAAAGTGGGTCAGGAAATCTCAAGTGTTTGCACAATGTTGTTCCAGTGACTTAAATATCTCTATTTGCAAAAGTCTAATGTCACCTCATAATTAGTCACAGTTGTCATATATTTGGAAATAATTTTGTATTTTACTATTCTCCAGGGGACCTATTTGAAAACTACTGTAGAGATGATGACCTTGCTACATTTGGAAGATTTTGTTATGGAGTCACTGTAATCCTAACTTTCCCAATTGAATGTTTTGTGACCCGAGAGGTGAGCTTTTACCATACTTCCCATGATATTAATCTGTAAAGTAGATGGAGAGATCTGTTCTAATTGCAGTCACTGACTGATCTTTAGTGAAGATCAGTAGTTACTGGCCTGGTGTATACTACAGATAGCATTTATTCAGTCATTATTATATTGTTTCTGTGCTAGAATTGCAAAATGGCTAAGGCTGAAAGTCATTACATCTTCACCCTCTCTTTTCAATTGTGTTATAAGGCATAACATAAAGAATTTAACACATTCTGCTCATTGAAATAAAATGAAAAAGCAAAGTTAAAGTTCTGTTTCCATTTCAGGTCATTGCTAATGTGTTTTTCAAAGGGAATCTAACAACAGTTTTCCACGTTGTTGTGACAATAATCATTGTTGCTGTAGCCACAGGCATCTCTTTAGTATACGATTGTCTTGGAATAGTTCTAGAGCTGAATGTAAGTACACCTGGATGCTCTATTATTAAATAAGTCGCCTTTTCATTGTTATATGGTTATGAAAATCTACAGGCCTATTAAAATGAATGTAGCATTGTGTTTTGTATCGACTGTCAGAGAGAGAATTATTCATCACCTCCAAAAGATGGTAAGAAAGAAGACATGGCCTGAAGCTAAGGAAGAAGACTAGACATCTGGAGGACATTCAAAACACAGAAGAGTAAATAAGCAGCCGATGTAGCCATGACGTCCAATAGTCAAATGTGTTAGAAAAGAATTGAGAACAGTGGGACCCATTCAAATATTGATTCTTATTGTAGATATCCCATGTTGGATCACTACCTCCTCTATCCAGGACTGCTCCCAAAGCAGTTCTGCTCACTTTTGTTGAGCACATGGCAGAAGGGTGGTTAGAGCCAATTCCTAACATAGGTCACCACTGTTACTGTACTGGTATTTTCTTTATACCACACTGCCACCATGGTCTTCATTGGAGTTTGATAGTCCAAGAATCCAAATCTAAATTTTTCAAAGGGAAAATGTGTACATTGTAAAGCAACCTCCCTAGGCCACTTTGAAGTCAAGGTGCATGGTGCTAAATAGAGAATTCAGTTTAAAAACAGACATGGTTTTTCTTTCCTTTAAAACTTTTAGGCTGAAACTGGTTTTGCTGATGGGAACCACATTCTGACCTAACAGACTCCCTTATTTTGATTATCAGTTGACGAGAGTCATACAGAAGACTTGTGTTCTTCATAAAGTAGACTCTGTAGTTCAACAAAAAAGCCTTTTGAGGGTATGTCTGTACTGCTTCCTTGGTGTTTCAGAATGGGAGGCCAAGGCACATGGCCTCTCCCTACCCACAAAACTTGGACATGAGGCAGTTGAGCTTCCCTCAGGGTGCTTCCTGCTGCTACACTTGAACTCTCTCTCCGCTGTGCTTGAGAGGAGCAATGAGGTGCTCCAAGATGACATCTTCCCTGCCTCATTTTTCAGTGGGTAGGGCAGACTTCCCAACCATGCTGTCAAGACACCAGAAAAGCAAAATAAACATATTCCTAAATCAGGGAGTCAGTTTTTGTGGTAATCCTCATTTTATAAACTCCCCTTAATCCTGTGAATTTAACTTCAATTTCAGTTTGGGGAATCTACATAATGTCATGCATCAATGTACAACACCTGGGAATTCATAGAGACTTTTTAAAGAAAAGCCACTGCTTTTAACACTTAAGAGCAGGGGTGGCAAACTATGGCTCCCAGGCCAGATCCAGCCCATGGAGTCATGGCTTAGGCAGCATTTGGCGGTGTGGGGTCTGCCCACACTGCTGAAGCTGAGCACAGTGACCTTTGGAAGAGAGAAAGTACTACCTGAACCTGTGTGGCAGTCAGTTCCCCAGGGCTTTGACAAAGGTGGAGCTCTTCCTGTGCTGTACCCAGCCTCATTACAGAGAGAAGTGGCAAAGGCAGCCAGATGCTACTGTCCCCCCTCTCAGCCCTAAATTGGGTCATTCCAGCCCCCTGCCAAAAACATTACCAACTTTGCTCAAGAGCATCCAAAAAGGGGGCTGCATATGTTACTGTCCTTAGTTGACAATTTACACACCTGATCCAGCAATAGGGTTACCATGTTTCCAGGTCCAAAAAAGAAGACGCCTTTGGGGGGAGGAGTTGGGGTGCAAGGGGAATATCATGGGAAGGGGGGGGCAGTGACATGCCAGTACCCTGCCTCTTCCTGTTATTTGCCCCTCACTGACAAGCCACACCCCTAGCTCTGCTGCTGCCCCTCACTCCAGACCCACTGATCCCAGCCCTGCCAGTGCCCCTCACTCCCAAACAGCAGTACCCTGCCCCCTACCCCTTACTGGTGCCCCTCACTCCTGACTCGCAGTCCCCTGGCACTGCCAGTGCCCTGCACACCCCACAGACACCCGTCCCATCCCCCATGCCCCTCACTCCTGATCTGCAGCCCCCTGTGGCTCTCCCAGCCCAGCAGTGCCCCTCACTCCTGACCCACAGCCTCTGCCCCCCAGCCCTGATGGTGCCCCACACTCCTGACCTGCAGACCCTGGCCCCCCACAGCCCTGCTGCATTGCATGCACATGCACTCTCTCTTCTGGCTTGCCAGGGCCTGCGCAGGAAGTATGTGACTCCCGACAGCCAATCACCTTGCCCGCTTCTCCTAGCCCCAAGGAGTGAGCCCGAGAGAACAGAAAATCTGGAAATTTTGCTCTTATTTTAAAAACCCACCCAGATGCAGCACAGGGGTCCAAAAAAGAGGACATGTCTGGGAAAACCCAGATGTATGGTAACCCTAGCCAAACCTCACTGAAATTGTGAAGAAAAGGAAGTGAGTTGATCTCCACACAAGTGCAAGCACTTTCCCAAGAGTAAAGCTTTCAGGATAGGGCTTTAACAAGCAAACTTCAACAATGCATCTTTCTCATTCACAATGCAGTTTAACTTTCTCTTGAGTGGTAGAAAGAAGTTTTGATACCAGCTTACTTAGCTGCTCATGCTCACACTAATGCTGCTGTACTGATCCTAGCATCCAGATAAGCTATCCAATTAACCTCTCTGAAATAATTACCTTCATTGTTCCTTGTAATTAATCCCTTCTATATGTTAACATTAATATATCCCCCAAATCTGATTTCTTGGGCATCTGTTAGTAATGTGCTTTTCAACATTTCTTTCTGTTTTAAGTTATAAATATATGACAGTCATACATGCATTATTCATCAACAGCAACTTCTTTTCAGTGTAAAGTCTTTCTCATTACCCAGAATTACATCCCTGATACAGTGCTACAGATCTGAATCAATTATGTTACAACAAGGAGCCAGCAATGTATGCCAACTCTATTATCTTCCTAAGACTAGTAAACATGCCTGATTTTTATTGTTAAATATTTTCAGCTGTAAAGGTTTTTAAATAATTACTTGGGACTTAATAGCCCATAAATACTGTATTCTTGCCCATCTGTCCCAACCATTTAAACAGTAATCAAGGCCTTATCAGATGGTGAGCATTATAAAGAAAAATTGATGAGCCAGGTATTTTAGCTGGAGGAGTCCTGTTCTTTTGTAAGGAATGAGTCCTGTTCTTTTGTAAGGAATGTACCCAAAACTCAGTCTTCTTGTACAGGAATCCAAATCTACCCTCACAGCAAATGCTGTACTACAAAGAAGCTCTGTCCCTTGGCTCTTACTCTTAGCATGGACCATACTCATTACTGATCCCTTCACTGCCTGTTTACTTTCTTTCTGCTTACTGGTTCCTTTTAATTATACACAGAAACATGCAGTTGAAGCCAAAAGCCCTGTTCTACCTACTGCATTACTGCATTTTCACAGAGAAAACCTCTAGGCCACATAGTTTAGCTTCTGTGTTGTCCTTTCACATGTCCTTTGGGTTCTTCAGTTTTAGCCATCATAAAACTGAATTGCACATTTATGTAGCCAGAACTAAAGATGGCTAGTATACATTTTAGTTTTTACCAAATCTGTAACAAATACTAACACCTTTCAGCATAACAATATATGGGTCAACAAACAAATGAAACAAAAAATATATAAAATTGGAGTATATCACTCTATGGCTGTCTCCTAAATCAATAAACTAATTCATTAATGAATGTTGCCCATAAACTGTGTATCAGGATGGCAACTTCTTAAATCTTACTTATGAATGCAGAGCTCTCTGATGGCAAGTGATAGTTGGCTGCAACTAATATTCAAGCTTGCACTGTTTTTAACTTAGTCCATGTCTGCACATGCACTTGGAGTAGCTTTAGAAAGAGAGGGGGACCACTGCAACTTTTATGCTGTAACAAGTTGGGTGTGCATTAGCCTGCTGTCATACAGTTATGGCAAAACCATTACAATTTAGGCAGATCTGGGATTTTTAAAAGGTGGAGGTGGGAGCAGTAGCTGGAGATTTTTTTCAAGTTTCCCTGAAATAAGTAAGAATCCCCACCTCCCAGCTTTAGGCAACCCCTCCATCCCTCTTTCTGTTCATCAGTACCTCCCCTCTCCTCCCATTCCCTTCCTTGCTATCTCTACTTATGTCTCTGGGCACAGAGAGACCTGCCCACCTCTGCTGCTGTCCCCACCTTCCAGGCTTCACCAGGGACAGCAGTAATAAGACAGGGCAGTTCCCCCTGGCATGGAATATTTGGAGCGGAAACAGGCAGGAAGGGGAAACCTGCCCACCATTGCTGCTGCCACTGTCCCTACCTGAGCCTGGCTCTCCGCACAGCCCAATTGAAGCAGAAAAGGGGCAGCTCTGGAGCCCTCCCCCACTGCTAGGCCATTTGCAGACCATGATAACAGCAGGCAGGGAAGTGGGAAGGAAGGGGACCTACTGCTGAGCACTGAGGAAGAGAGTGGGTGCTGAGAATAGGGAGAAGGGTGGATTTTTATCTGCCTCAGGGACTTAAAAATAGATGCCAATCACTGCTCTCACAGTGTGGGTCAAAATAGGTGCGACTACCACTGCACCCCCTCTGGATTTGTTCCTGAATTTCTCACTGGTATTGCTATAGGCTTGTGCAGACATAACAGTTGTGATATAACAGCTGTTGAGCACTCCAGACACCAGTTCCCCCTCCATTTCTGTAGCCACTCCAAGGTCACTTGTACATGTGACGGGGGTTTAGTCCCCTAAATTGAAACAGTTGGGTTTTTAATTGCGGCAATTAAAAACCCACCATTGCAATTTAGGGGCTTCCATCCTGTTACAGTGAGGGGCCTGATCATTTTGTCCCCGCCCTGCACAACCTGCCTGCCTCTTCTGCAGCTGGGGGGTGAGCTGCCGGCAGGCCAATTAGCCCCTGAGCTGCAGGGGTCCCTGGTCCTTCCCTCTGTGGTGGTGGTGCCCCCTGAGGCTGCCTGGGTGGGCTACTAGTGGGCAGGTGCTGCCTGAGGAGTGCCACCACTGTGGAGGGAAAGTCCTGCAGCTCAGGGCCTGCCAGCAGCTCACTACCCGACTGCAGGAGAGGCAGGGAGGGCCTTTTGGGAAAACAAAGGATCCAGATCCTTTTTTTTCTTTTTTTTTCCTGTGGACCCTGCCCATGCCAGCTGCTGCTGAGCCATGCAGCACCTGAGCTCCAGGGAGGCCCAGTTCTTCCCTCTGTGACTGTACCTGGCTATGTGGGTGCTGCCTCAGCTTGCAGGCAGCACCCGCCAGATCCAACTCTTCCCCGAGAAGCGCCCGGTGGGCTTCCAGCATGGAGTCTCAGGGAAGAGTTGGATCTGGAGGTCTGGGGCAGCATCCGCACAGCTAGCACCCTGCCCGGGCAGCCCCAGAGGGCGTCACCACCACAGAGGGGAAAAAAAAAACATGGCAAGGGGAGTGATCCCTGATCCTTCTACCCCCCTCCATCTTCCCAGAGCCTGCCATGTCTCCTGCAGCCAGGGAGCAAGCTGCCAGTGGGCACTGAGATAAGAAGAGCCCCGGACCTTCCCTCCACAGTGACGGTGCCACCCCAGGGCCACCCAGGTGGGCAGCTAGCGGATGGGTGGCTGCCCCAGCTCGCAGGCAGCACCCAGTCCAATCCAACTGTTTCCTGATCCCAAGCTAGGGCAGCACCCCCCACTAGCCGTCCGCCTGGGCAGCCCCAGGGGGCACCACTGCCGTGGAAGGAAGGACTGAGGCCTTCCGCAGCTTAGGAGCTGCTCGGCCCACCAGCAGTTTGCACCCTGGCCGTGGGAGATGTAGGCTCCATAGGGAAAAAAAAAAAGAATCATGCCCCTCCACTGCTTGTCTCAGCCCGCCTCTACCATGGCAGTGGGGCAAACTTTCAAAGGCTGCAGTGTTACAAATAGCTACGTTGCAAACTAAACTAAATGCAGATGTGGTTTAGTTTGTAACGTAGCAAACTCATTTAAATCATAAAAATCCCCCGCACATGTACAGCGTGACGCAATTAAACCGCAAAAACAGCCAATTTTCATCACATGTATAAGCACCCCTGTGCGGGCCAGGCACGAGCCGGGCCCTTTTTTGTGCTCTGCGCGGGCTGTGGCCAGCAGCCCGGGCACGCGGGGTCGGAGAGGGCGCGCGTCAAGCTAGAATTAGGCACAGACTCGTAGCGGTAGATTAAAAGATTGTTTACTTACACCAAAGATGGTCGTGGTGTAGGCTGGACAGTTTTCCAGGTTCAGCTCCGCTTAAATCCTCGTTGGAGGACTACGACAAGCTCTCTCACGAAGTTTGCTAGGCTCCGTGGAACTTGTGCTCTGAGGTAGTTCGGTCGTCTGAACACGACGGGGAGGGGCTAGAGGCCGTTCGGTAATTGGGTCCCCGGAGTTGTTAAGGCTCCGTGGGTTCGGTTCAGTAGTTAAGCCTCTATTGCCTTCTTAAGGGAAGAGCTGGGTTCGAAGGAATCAGCAGCGCTTAGAGATCTTCATGCTCTTTCCCCCAAACTCCAGTTTGCTTTCTCTCTCCCTCTCCAACTTGGGCGGAAACTACCCAAGCTCTTTATATGGCTAGCAAGCCAATCGCTAGCCGCCACGTGTGCATATATTAGGATCGGCCAATAATGTGGCATGAATCTAAATATAAATGGCGGGAACTCCTTTGCACCATGCATCTCTAGGATGCAAAAGAAATGCACCATGCAAAGAAGGCTACAAATTGGCGGGAAATACTCTTCTGCACGTGGGTTGTCTTGTTGCAGCAGAAAACTCCACCGTGCAAAGGAGCTGCAATTTAGCGGGAACATAATTTGGCGGTGCCAAAGCACACACAAACAAAAAAACCACAACTTTGGGTTGTGACAACCCCAAGAGTCCATTTGTTCAAACCCTGACTGTGGTCCAGAATAATGTCTTCCAGCATGCTGTGCTGTGCTGGACTGATTCCTAAACTGAATGCAGTGTGGCTAAAGCTATCAGGCATTTGGGGTGGGCTAATTAGAATTGTTGAGTGACAGTGCTAATGAGTCCACCCTTAGCCCTGTGCAGACATGGCTACGTTGATTCCAGTTGAAGCAATAGCCTACCTGGAGCAGTGTATGATGCTTGTGGACAGTGCCCCGGAACATCAGTTTATTGTTTAGACATGCCTTTAGGATAGGATTACATGCATCTTTATCCAGAATATGCTGTGCTTTTAGGCCAAGATGTAGTCTCCTAAAAGTTCTGGATTTGGACTTTCACAAAGTTGAAAGCATTGCTGAATAGTATTATGCTGAGAATTTGCTAAAACTACATTACACGCTGATACATTAAGCTTCGTCATGCATTAGCAAGCTTCAGTTTCTTCTTTTGAAAGGCAAAAGCAGTATTGCCTCTGATCATATCTTCTAACACCCTGCCAGGCAATGCTCCTAAATATTCCTTAATGATAAATTATTTTAGAACTGTTTATATATGGACTTTGCTGTAGTTTTGTAGCTGGTAAATTTCATGTAATTTTAGTTTGCTGGATAAAATTTCACCCTGCTTCAGCCACATGAATATTTACAACTATTTTCTTAATCCTGAGAGATTTCAAACAGTTTTTACAAGTGCCTTTATGAATTGCTAGTGTTTGGGTAAGTGAAATACAATATCTAACCCCGTGGAAGGAAACCCCCTCACTATATTGCAATTTCAGTTCATAGGAAACACTTTGCACAGTTCCATTTACATATAGGAAAATTGCAATTGTTCATTTTTTTATGCTGGAGGCATGAGTATACATGCTTATGGATTTTGTTGTTGTTTCCTACTCCCAGGGCGTTCTCAGTGCTACTCCACTTATTTTCATCATCCCTACAGCGTGTTATCTGAAGCTGTCTGAAGAGCGTTGGAACCATTCAGATAGTCTCATATCCTGCCTGATTCTCACTGTTGGTGTATTAGTGATGACAGTTGGCTTCGTTTTGACTATTTTGCATCCCCAAGAATGTAGCCATGGAAAAGAAATGTTCTACTGTTTCCCTAGCAATAACTCTCTTTACAATAGTACACTTCCACCTTAGCCAGTATCCTAACCATGAGGATATACTACCTGTCTCCTGTGAACCCAATGATAATTTAAATATGACAGGAACAGAGTGTTCTTACATTTTCACATGAACAAAAATATTAAACTGTACAATGTATATGTACACATTTTGTTTAATGCTATATCCTTCTCCAGATAGGAATTCAGCTTTAATTTTTAAGGCTGAAATGCTTTAAGGTTCATTGCCTCAGACCAGACTGTTCAGTCGAGTCTTGTTATATTGCATGACTGATTTGGAAACCCATTGCGAAGGACTACATTTTGCAAATTAGTAAGTCAGGAAACAAACACTAATAAGAAGCTTGGGGCAAGCATCTCAGAATGGACTTTTTCCCCTCATTTAAGTGTAATTTAGTTTTAATTATTTTATAAAGCCTTACAGAACATTTTACTAGCATCTAATACTATATTGAAAGATTTGACCATACCATTCTGCTGTTATGTTTTTGCAAAGAATTTGAGGTAGCCCTGTGAATTCTACCTGTGAATTGTAGAATAAGCAGCTTAGAATAAAAATTGCACCCCCCTCACCAATTGCCGGGTGAGGGGGGAAGAGTCATGCACCAACAGACTCTCAAACATGGGATTTGGTGGTGCAGAGACCTTGACTTGGTTTCTTTATGATGGCAATTTTACACAAAGAACTGTGAATGACAAGATTCCACTGTAAGAGTTGTATGCTTTAGGGTTTTTTTTAAAAAAACATGAATAAAAAATAGCATTAGTGTCCATATGTGTTTTTTAATCATTTTTACTATTATTATTTTGATTCAACAGAACGTACTTTCAGAATCATTACCAAGCAAATAGCAGGGTAGAAACTAAATTTACAGCACTCTAAATGTACAGCACTACAGAATTCTTTATATTTGTAAGTGAATTTGTTCCTTTTTTCTCCTGACACTGGAGAGTGATATGGTAGCCCTAGTAACACTGCTCAATATACGGGTAACAGCATAATCCACAACTTTCACTGAGACGATTTTTATCTATGTCTACTGAACTAAGGCTTCACATGTAAATAATGTAAAAGTTAAGCCTTGTTTCTCATTGTACTGCTATGCTTCTGAAAATACTTTGTTTTGCATCCATATTAAGACATGTTCACCTATTTGGAATCTGTTTATGTTATCTTAAGATCTTTATGCCAAGGATGTGTTGATAATGAGCATATGATTGTGTGGGTGGAGCAGTGATATGCCCATGCGCTGCCTCTGCCCCTGGGCGGGCGCCCCCCCCCCCCCCCCCCCCGCCCCGCCCAGCCTCCCCTCACTCTGAACCCATAGCATCCTGCCCCCTGGGCACTTCCGGTGCCCCTCACTCCCAACCCACCGACCTCTGTCCCTCCAACACTGCCAGTGCCCCTCACACCAACCCCACAGGCCCCTGCCCCTCAGTCCTGCTGGTGCCCCTTACTCCTGACCCACAGACCCCTGCTTCCCTCCAGCCCTGCCAATGCCCCTCACTCCTGACCCACAGCCCCCCGCCCCCCACCCCGCCTTGCTGGTGCCCCTCACTCCTGAGTTGCAGCCCCTGTCAACCAGCCCTGCTGCCTAAGCAGCTCCTGCATTGTGCATGCACACATGCACACTGTCCCTTTACCTAGGAGTGGCTTGTCAGGGCCCGTGTGAGGAGCACATGACCCTTGACAGCCAATTACCTTGCTCTCTGCTCTGATCTCCAAGCAGCCAGCCTGGGAAAGTAGAGGAAAAGCAAAAACCCAGACTTTTGCTCTAATTTTAAAAACCCACCCAGATATGAGGACAGGGGTACAAAAAAGACAATATGTCTGGAAAAACCCAGACGTATGGTAACCCTAGCCAAGAACAGTAGTCTAATTTTTTCCAGCTATTTAGTTGGTCTAATAAAGGATATCGTATCTACCCAAAGAACCTTGTCTGCCTGTGTCCTCAGACCAACACGGCTACAACAAAACACCCCTTGGAAGAATGTGAAATTTCCCTCATGCGTCCATTTGGGGTGCAAATTAGTCCCTGGGTTTCACTGAAAATCCTGAAAGAGAAACCTACTTGCATGCTGTTGTGACCTAAGATTGCAATAAATTGTATAAGGAACACATAAGGTCAGAGCTGTCTAATAGGCCTGTATGAATAGGGAAGTATTTGATTTGGATTTGCCCAATTCAGAGGACAGCAATTCAATTTGGTGATTCAAATCACTGTCCCCATTCGATCTGGCCAAATCAGAATGAGAGATTCATCACTGATTCAGCAATTTGGATTGGCCAGGGAAAGGCAGGCACAGCTGGGTGGCTGCAGGTTTTCCCATGTCTCCTCCAGCTGTGCCTGCCTCTCTCGGGGGTGGGGACCCACAGGAGAAGCCCCAATAAGTGCCCTGCCCAACCCCATCCCCAGCCTGGCCCCAGCCTCCTAGCACTTCAAAAAAAAAAAAGTGATGCACTCACCAGCCTCAGCAGTGGCAATCAGGGCCTCTGAGGGCTCGTGGCAAAGGTCTCCCATGCAGTGGGGATCACACTCCCCTGCCTGGCACCCGCGCAGTAGCTGCCCTATGGCACTGGTGCAGTGCAGCTCGGCAGAATGTTGCGCACTGTCTGGGAGCTGGGACCACTGCAGCTGAGCAGTTCTGAGGTCTGGCTGACTGCTGGAGGCACCCCAGCTCCCAGACAGCACCCTGCTGAGCCGCGCTGCACCTGCACAATAGGACAGCTGCCACACCCATGCCTGGTGTGGGGTAGTGATCCCCACTGCCCAGCACTGTGCAGGGTGGGCTCTGCCACGAGCCCTCAGAGGCCCTGATCACTGCTGCCAGAGTCGGTGAGTGTGGGGCTTTTTTTTTTTTAAGTACCGAGAGTCTGGGGGCAGTCAGGGCAGCTCAGGGGGCTTCTGTGGCTCCTCTGGCTGTGCCTGTCTCTGCCCTGGTAGGGGGGGCATTGCTGACCCGGGGGGGGGGCGCTGTGGGAGAAGCCCCCATGGCTGCCCTGCCCAGCCTCACCCCTGCCTGGCCCATTCAGTTCCGGGGGGGCGGGGGGAGCGTGCATGCAATGTCTGGGCAACAGCAGTGCATAGCCCCTGCTCCCAGCACTACTGTGCTGCATCCCATGCCCGCCTCTCACCCTGAATAACACCTCCCTGCCCCAGCTGGGCAACTTGCCCCAGCCCCAATCCCTCCCTCCCTCATGCCCCTTCCCTCCCCCAACCCCAACAGATTTACCAGCTGGAGGCAGCTGTGTCAGCTGCCTGTTTAATCTATGACTGAATCTCTGAAGTGGCCAAATTGATTTGATTATTCAAATTGATTCAGAGCTTTTAATTGGTTTCCTGATTCATTTCAGATTTGGATATTTGGTCCCTGAATCAGGCTGAATCTCCTCCAAATCAAATTGGCTACTGAAACTTCACACAGCCCTACTATCTAACTTCTGAGTGACTGGGAGCTGCACCACATATAGTATGCCCTGTATCCCCATCCTCTGTCCCCTGCACGGTGAGTACCCCACTAACCACGCCATGCATGCACCAGATGTGTGTGCCAACCATCCTTACCCTGGGGCCAAGGGTCAGGAAGCTGAAGTTGGAAAAGGACAGGGAGCTGGCAGACCCCAGTGGCAGTATCAGGAGACTGAGGCAGGTAGTGGTGCCTGGACAACGAGCCTGGGGGCCATGAGTTAATTTCTTGGGGACTACCTAAGGCCTGTGGGTTGCCAATTGGACAGCCCTGATTTAGATGGTGTCTAGAGTCAGTGTTATTGGCTCCTGGCATATGATTCTTCTGAAAGAACCATGGCAAATACGTATCCTGCCTGTTCAGAACTTTCACTGATTTTTAGACTGGATAGAGGAAGATTTGTCATCTCATCTTCAACCCATTCTAGTGCCCAGTTTTTTATGATGCTTAGCAATTTGAAAAATGTCAAGCCTGGAGTAGCAGTTGTTGGTTAAATGTTTGCAGTGCTAACCATAAGTATAACTAGGGTGGGGCAATCAGGGCACCAACCCTAGGCCTTGACTTTGACAGTGTGCCAGAATCACCCCCTGGATGGGGCGGGAACCACCTCACTAAGTAATGTATCTCAGGGCAAGGAACCTGTGGAGTGAGCAGAATGGTGCTCACCCCCACCTCCAGAGAGCCTGCCAGAGTAGACATAGCCATGAGTCCAAAAAGTATTTAGTGAATGAGGCATCAGGACTGGCCAACGGACCCTGGACACAGGGCTGCTGCCATTGAAGTGGAGCTGATGCTACTACATCAGCAGCAGCAGCAGCCAAGGCTGGTAAGACTTCCCTTCCCCTCGCCCATGTCCTCCCTTCCCCCATGTACAGTGGTCAGCATACCCCCATACCCTCCACCCCAGGTGCTCAGTGAGCTCACTATGCCTCCAGTGCTGACAAAGCTACAAAAGCTCTTGTTTTGCCATATCTTAATGCATGCATTTCAGTATATTATTATGTATGGCTCAGTAGTTTTATGTCACAAATGGAGTAAGTGAATATAATGTTCTCCCAAGTATAAGTATACCAGAAAGAAGTCAAATGTCATGGATACAAGAATTTAAAGTTATTTGCTATTCTGTTAATGGCTTTACACACTACAATTCCTTTCTCTTCTACATTATGCACTACAACTTTTCTCTGTTGAAACCATGCAAGTAATGAAATCCTTTATCTTTCTTTTTGACCCATGAGTTTTAAAAGAGAGGTATATTTACCAGGTGATCTAAAGTAAGTATCATTCTGCATAATATCAGCTGACAATACAGTGCACAGATCCAATGTCATAATGCAAGGAACAATTGAGAGAGATTTCAAGCATAGAAACCTGTCCTGCAAAATGCTAAGTAACGCTTAGAAAGTACTAAGGAGGGAAAGGTGACACAGTATAGGCTGGTCACTCCTAGGGGAGGTAAGGATTTATAATATTTCTGTAAAGCTGGACAAGGGTGTGCAACATATCCTGTGATAGGGCTAGCAGCACAGGCAAGGCTTGTGTGAGAAAAGTGGAGCTGAGGTGCCCTGGACTAAGGATTTAGCCCCTTGGTAAAGCTCAGCTTGTCCTCAATGGTCAGCAAAGGATGGTAGAGAGAG